TTAGCTAGTAATTAAAAATTTATTTAGGAACAACTTCAAGCATGTCATCATAAGTTGATTCTACCGCAGGAAATGCACCAACATAGGCCCATAAGGAAGAGTTAATAGATGTCATAGTGGTTGGATTTCTTTGTAATTCAAATAAATATATACAATTTTTGAAGGTATAAAGATAATATTTAAGGATTCATATTCTAGTTAATTCTACAACTCTATGTATAACTTAATACTTCATTTAAGCTGATTTCTTTTTTTGTCACTTTATAAATAGAAAAATATAAATTGACATTCATGGCTCAATCTCCAAGATCTCAAATTAACATAGTTACCATGCCCATAGCTAGTTTAAATTTTAGTGATGTTTGAAAATGAACACAAAAGTACTATGACCATGTAAATTGTAGGATATTAAGTACCTGATAAAAACAAGTAAAAAGTATTTAAAAATATGAAAGCTAACAGTTTATATACAGAAAAACAAAATCTTTTACATACTGGATTGAAAGTTTGCAGAACAGAAGTGTTTTTAAACTTATATTAATAACATTACTTAGCTGGATAGTAAATCCTGTCAGTGTAGATTTTTTTGTGTGTGTGTAATTCTCAAAGAAGAAAGTGGCATGAACTTTAATTCATGGTTACATAGTTGGCTGGAAAAATGCCAGTTTGACCTCGAAGCTTTCCTTCCCACCAATCAAAATGTGAATCTGTTTTTGATATAACTATGATTCTGTCTCCAGCTTGAAAATTCAAATCCCCTGGCTGCTGTGCTTCAAATGAATAGAGCGCTGTCATTTCTATCGGCAGATTTGAATTGCCAACTCTCTCATGATAGCTGGGAAGTTCAGGATAGAGCTTATACTCATTTCTGTCATTTTGGGAGCCAGAAGTCAGGTGGACAGGTGCAGATGGCTGTTGTGGTCTCAACCCTGGTTTGGGGGGTAATTCTTTAGCCTTGCGCTGCTGCTCACGTGCCGCTCGCCTGCTGTTGATTCGTTGTCCTTCATTTTCATACTTTTCAGTAAAGGAATTGAGAATTTCATAGAGATCTTCTGCTTGAGCAGGTGGCGGTATATCTCCAAATAAAATATCATAAGCTCGAATATCTTGGCAATAAAATTTTCGATTAGTCTCTTTCCTTTCGATCAGACAGCTGCCCTCCAAAGACACACCAGCAAAGAGACCCCTGGACTTGCAGTACGTGAAGACAGCAGCTGAGCTCCTTAGGGCGACGTTCCCTTCTAAGTTCCTTCCCACAGGCCCGACAGCCACCGTGAGGTTCCCGCCGAGTGTCAGATTACCACCCTTCGCAAAAGCTTCTACAGCTCTGCCGTAATTCAGAATTATTACTAAATCCGATACCTCAATTCCTATTTCAAATCCCCCACCAAGGCCAGCTATCCCAATGGCAGAAGGTGCGGACCATTTCCCATCCGGACGCCGTGCCAGCACGATGCCGCTGCCTCCTCTGGCTGTCACCAGGAACCCAGCCTTGACCACAGACAGGACTGCGAGTCCTTTTGCCTTGGCGATTATGTGGGCAGGAATGATCCTGTCAGGTCCATTTCTGGAAGTAATTTCTGTGAATTCTCTTAATATTTTAGCAGCCTTTTTTGCTTCTGATTTCAAATTGGAAGGTATGGGGTTATTCATCTTCGCCCGGCGTCCCGCACACCTGCACCCCGCGCACCTGCGGAAGAGCTAAAGTCTGGAGTTCTTATTGAAAAAATATAATTGTTTGAAAACTGCCAAGGTAACAAGTGATTTAAGGAAGAATCATCAGTAGTTGCTAATACATGGTACAAAATGATGAAAATTTGATGAGGACAGGATAATTGCATATTGTTGTTGTATTTTCCCACAAGGAAGATACCTCCCCCCCAGAAAAATAGTACCTTTACAGTGTTAGACACTACATTAATCAAGTGATAAAAGTCAAGTAAGGCTGGGCACAGTGGCTCATGCCTGTAACTCAGTTCTTTGGGCAGCCCACCTGCTTCATACGGAAGCTGGAAAGCATTTATCTTGCTGGGAAAATGTTTATTCTGTCAGACGGAGAAGAGAAATAATGGAACCATTAAAGTGATGAAGCCTCTTGATAAAAAAATCTTCGAATCATGAAAGTAGTTGGAAGAGCAATGGCAAAGACAACTATTGTGCATATCTTCTGTCTAGTTTAAAGGACACCATCTTTTTGATTTTAGACTTTATGATGAATCTCTGGAAATTACCCATGAGTTTCCTCAGTTTTTTTCCCCTCTGGGAGTTATGTAATATGATTAATCTTGATGAACTTTTCATGATTGTTCATGAGCTACATTACAAACTATTAATGATGACCCTTGATGTTTTAGGGGGAGATTCATGTGGTTTCAAATACTTAATTTGTTCTTTTGAAAATTTCATTTATATAACTTCAGATGTAACTGAAGATTTTGATGAAACTGATATATTGACAGTTCTTACCTACAGACTGTTATAAATAATCACTTCTTTAATACATGGAGAAACTCCTAGAGTCACCAGAATTTTCAGATTCAAAAAGCCTAACAGACTATGGGAGACAGAGGGAGATCACAAATTCCATTTCAAGGCAGCTTTTTGCTTTTTTGCCTTTATCTGAGCAGACACCATGAGGAAAGCTGACTCTTCTGAATTGACAACAATTATGCATAGGAAGTTATCACTGAAATTAAATGGTAGCAGACATATCCAGGAAATATTGTGGGCATTTAGTCCCTTTATGATCTTGTTATAGAAGAATACAAAGTGATGGCAACCAGTGGGCAAGAGAACAATACTGGAATGGTGGTAATATAAGAAAACAGTATCATGTTGGAAACCTTGAAATAAGTATGAACAATGGCTATTCAGCAGAGAAATCCATGTCTCCTCTCCAAAAACTTGTTTTATTACAATGTGAAAATTGGGTCATGAAAAGAAAAAAAAAATCAAGTCATGTACATTTTCGTATGAAACTTTTTGTTAAATATATGTTTATGGCTCGGCGCCTGTGGCTCAAGCGGCTAAGGCACCAGCCACATACACCTAAGGTGGCGGGTTCGAATCCCCAGCCCG